GGGATATATAATGAATGTTTCACATTTGCTTATCTGTGATGTTGTCTGTAAGAAACACAAGGTGAATACAGAAAACTGCACCCAGGTGAATCCAGCAATGCAGGAATGCACAAAATGTGCACAAGAACACCCTGTGAGCATTAGTCTACTAGCGACCTCAGTTTACCACGTGTGCTGTGAGCCACACCCAGTTGCACCCAATGTCACAACTTCCCATCTGATTTCAGATACCATTCTTTTCTACACTTCATAATGACTCACAAAGTGCAACCCTTCCAACAGCCACTTCCATAAGCAAACTTTACGGCTTTTTCAAGTTAGAGTGTCTATTGATCATAGTATTGATATATTTCTTAAAGACCTATAAAATTATGCTACTGTCATTATTAGATTTCTTTTTTTTTTCTGTGTCCTGGCAGAGTTTTGAGTGTTGTATCCAAACTGCATTTTTCACAATAAGCCAGGAGGTTTTATTGTTCAGTTTTACATAATGCAACGATTATTAGGACTGCAAATGCCCCCTTACAGCAGAACTAACTGTATTTATGCTACTCTCATATGAACCTTCCATCCTTAACTTTAGTCTAATAAATTAGGGAGCATATTGCCCTCTGGAACACCGTGTCTTGCTCAAATTGGAAGTTTGTTACAACTTTGTTACAAAAAATAAATACACCTTGTTCTTTCCTGTTTCCATGGCTTTCTTTATCAAAACCCTTCACCTGAAATGCATTACCTTTCTCTCTGCTTAATCAAATACTATCCAACTTTTAAGCCCCATTCAGATTCCAAAAACTGCATTGAGCCTTTTTGACAACCCCAAATAGAAATGATAGCATCTTCCACTGTGTTTATAGTAAATACTATTTATGTCATTAAATTAAAATAATGGTTATCATAATAGTTTTCTTTTTTTGTATCTTGCATCATATTTCCTCAAGTATATTTCAAGTTGTCTGTGCTCTCTTGTGTCTGGTCATGTGTCTAGTGTGCCTTGTATCTCTCACCATGCCATGCACAAAATACTGAAGATGATCAGTACTGAATAAATATTTGTGATTGTGGTAAAAGTGGTAGATCTGCCTAACAATCACAAAATGTGAAATTTACTAAGTACCTGTGGAAGCTAGAGAAATTCCTTGTGATTAAAGAAAATGAACACACATATATATAAACTATTTTCTATTATATTTTAGATGTAAAATCACATAGGGTGATTAAATACCAAGACAATTTACTGGTCACACTCCTAGCAAACAACCCTTTCAAAAGTGTTTCAAAACTTTACAAACACTTTGAATGGGATCTTGGAGGTTCTATTCTTCATACTATGGTACAGTTTTAAGAATGCCCTGGTGCCATGATAGCCCCCCTAGTCTCTCTTCCTTTCTCTATTGAACTTCCTACATGGCCTCTGAGGTCAGAAATATTCCTTCTTTAGTCAGAAAGGCTCTAATACCACACAGTATCCTCCAGGCTCACAGGCATGGTCTCCTTTTCCTGTTCTTCTAGAGCTGGTAAGAATGCTTTAGGTCCACTTTTCCTCCCAGTGATTTGTTAAGACTCAAGATAATGTTTAGATTTAAAGCAAAGCAATTTTAAAAGGAAAAGAAAATCTCTTCACCATGTGGCTAAGCAAACTGAAATTTTACATTGACTTTTGGGGAGAGGTTTCAGCTAATGATAAATATAACTTCATCTTCTTTTGGGAGGAATTATTCTGCATATGGAACATATATATGCATTTCCACGATCTATGTACATATGCTCACTTCTTTGGGGCTTGTAATTCAGAGGTAACTTGTTTAGAACAAAAGAGATGATGGTATATACTATTGTTACATAGGAGTGGTTCTCCATTTTGTACATTAACAAGAGTAAGAATTTGTTTATATGATTATGTTTGCATAAACCAGTAAATATAGTTAAGTTGTAACAATATTCTTTTCTCTTTCCTTTTTTCTTTCAATATTCTGAAATCCTGATTTGTTTGTCCTAGGTTTGTAGTCTAAATCAAGTTAATTTATTTAAATATTTTAGAAATATATTTATAAATCTCAAGCCCTTATCCTGAATCTCATGTATGAACTATACCTGCAAATTATACCAAATGAACATGGCAGGTGGATAAAGAGACAAAGTTTACATTTCCTGATTACTGGTTTAAATCATGGCAAGTTGGGGTCTCACAACTCAAGAAAAATTCTGATATGATTGCTGTTCAGATTTTGTCAATGGTGTCCTTGTTTTTATATCTACTAGAGGCTGTTTAGAGGAAGAAGAAATAAATTAATTTAAATTAAGTCATTTTGTATGATGAGGAAATGGCTTAGGTGGATAAATTATGGATGGGTAAATTATTAAAATGCATGAACAAAGTTAGTAAATTTAAGTCAGTGATATTATCTCCATCTCTCAGCTCTAATTAGGACATTTACATATCACCAAGAACCTGATAGAAAATTGGATTCTAATATAGCCAGTGTTGATGACTTTCAATAAGTCACTTAAAAGCATTTGTTTATTAAAATTATTAATTTTTCTTGCATAATAAAAAAATCCTGATTGGATTGATCTCTAAGTCCCTTAAATTCACAAAATGGTCTGGAATCATAAGTTATCTTAAGAAGTCCCACATGTATGAATATTGCCACTTTAACAGTTGAATGGTGGAGGGTGTAGCCAGTTTCTTCCACTCTCAAAGTTTATATGAAATTTTGTAAAAAGATACAAATATTATTTTAAAAATGGATTTTATATTAAAATGGCTACAACTTGCTTTTCCACTGTAAGATATCAGTGAAGTATAAAATCTAAGTTGTAATTATACATCCACACAAATAAAAGTCAAAATCCATGTAATGCCTAGTGACATTAATACTTCGATGCTTCCACTTTCAGCTATTCCTAAAGTGTTGTATGAGTCATACTCACAATAATAAATATAAAAATTATGCAAAATTATATGAATTATTCATTATTGCAGTAATAAATAGATTTTTTTCTTTACCATCTGAATTAATGAAATGAAAAGTAACTTCTTTTATAGTTAGTGTTCATTTGTTATAGGTGGGTGTAACATTGACAATCTTCACAATTGGTAATCCATGTATCAATATGATTTGTGAGCAAAGAAGCTGTGGGGTTGAGTTAATTTATTATATGGAGAAAACTAAGGAATTATCTCAAAATTATTTATATTTTAAAAGGTCAAGGAAAAATTTACACTACACATAACAGGAAATATTTCATTGGATTCTTCTCAAAACCAAGGGAAGAATCTAAATATTCTGATTCTCCAGTCCATTGTGGAATTGGTGCATCTGCATTTTGATAAGTTCCACAGGTAATTAGGAGGCTTAATATGGTCTGGAAACCACAGCCCAGTTAGTGTCCACAAGACAAATTCTGAGCTGGATGCTCCTAAATAGACTACAAAGAAGGGATCCCTCACATGGAGGAGTGTAAGAGAGAGGAAGGGAGACTTCACCTTGCCACACAAGTCCATCATCTGGTTGTCATTGTAGGTTCCCAGAAAAATAAAATATGCATTTAACACCATAGTAAAACATCTTTGCCTGATGAAAAGAGATCAAGGATCACTTATTTGCCCAAGCTTACTTCAGATATTGCAGTGTCACCTGTCAGTGGCTCCTTATCTTCACACAGTAGTTGATCAGCCACACGATTAGTGAATTGAATTTGTCTGGAACAATGCCAATGGCTATGTTCAGCTTGCAGCAAAAAATATGATGGGCAAACATGACATGTGCCACAAGAAGGCTGGAAATTACAAAGTTTTCCATTCCAAATTAAATTTTAACTGGCAGCTAACTAAAACTCAGTCTTCTGGAATTATGTTTTTTAAGAGTTTCATGTCACATGGCTTTTATTGTGAAATGAAAATTTCACAGAAGTAAGTAGGGAATTTTGGTAGTCTGCCACAGAGTTGCTGAACAATCGAAGGCATGTGTTCTTCTAACCTTCTTCTTAAGGAGGTAATTTCACTGCTTTATCTCCACTGGAAATAGACCAAGACAAATGATTAGTGTGGATTTGCTTCTTGTAATAAACTGGCTACATTATTAAGTTTGCTTTGTTGTCCTTATTGACTAACTTTGGTTTCTGTGTGTGTGATATTACAGTGAACTATAAATAGTATTTGAGCCTCAGGAATACAAAACTGCTTTTGAGTTTTGACAGGGTAAAAATTATTGGGCTACATGCATAAACTTAATGGTTAAATCAAGGTATTCATCTCAATAAAATATAGCATATACTAGGGATTAAGAGATAATTGAGGAAATAGATTCTTGAGGAATCTAAAGTAAGGAATCGGTACTGGGAGTTAAATGTATTTAAATGCATAGGTCTAATGAACTGTTGGCACTTAGACCTGAAGGACACGTAGGAATAAAAAAAATGTTATTTTTTAAATTAGGATCCTGTCCCTTCTAATTATATTTAATTAAAAAGCATTCACTTTTTGCATTTTTATTAATTTTTTTAAAGTGTAAGGGGATTTTTTAAATTTTATATAACATAGGCAAAATGATTATAAATCAATAAATATTTGAAGAATTTCCTGTATTGTGATTCCTTTTCCTACCAATTGCTTGAGCTCCCCCAAAGTTTGAGTTATGATCTTCAAGACTGTCCTTTTAAACTCAACTTTTGTTCAATCCTCAGTCAGTCCAATATGCTTTTAGCTGAGCTTCTTTGATCTCCACTGGAATATGGACATACTTCAAAAGTCCCCACCTGTAATCTCTGGGATCCAATTTCCTCAAGTAACTTACTTTGGGGCCCCATTTAGGGTATTTAGGGTCAGAGTAGTTAGAGCTGCCTTGTTCTCAATTTCAGACACCCTGTAATGATGAGCTAAGTTTAATCACATTCTCTCCTGAGCATTGTCCTCTAGACATAGTACAGACAGTTGGGATATGCAAATGTCTAAGATTAAAAAAATTTCTCTATTAGGTCTTTCCTAGATGTAGCCGAACTGTCTTGTAATTCCTTCCCAAGGATCTAACACACAGTTCTGTGAGTAAAGGAAACACAATATGTACTCTGAGGTGTTTCCAGCAATGTAAGTCTACAGAAAAAACTCCATTGTGACAAATCTCAACCTGGCATTTTCAAATTGCTGCAATTACTTAGATAATGAGCAGAGAGGTATTTGGTGAGGCTAAAATGTACTAGCCAATTATGATGTGCTAAACTCCTTTTGGTCTTTGTCCTTTGTGTGTTTGAATTAGAATTGTGATCTGAGCTCTGCATATTTATAATAAAAATTATATAACATTTGACTATTTTTAATTGTGTCTCATCCTTAAGGCCTGTGGGCAATAGTGATACCTAGACATTTGATCAAAATGATTTTACTGTAAACAGTTGATCTCTACATTTCAGCTACCATTAAAGCCATGAGATCATCAATAACACTATCAAAGTAAATGGTGTGTAGATTGCATTGACTTGCTAGCTTGGTTTTGTCTCATACAGCTCAGTATGCATGCATGTACAGTAAAAGTATACAAGTGTACAGGTGGCGAGTATCCACTTTAGAAATCACTATGTTCAACATTCTCCCCCTGCCACATCATTGTTGTTTTTTAAAAAATATTTCTTTTGCATTGTTAAAAATTTTTGGACTTGGAAAGCAATAATATTTGGAATAGAAAATATTAGTAGTTAATAAATTATAAAGAAACTGTTAGGAAGAAACAGTCATTAGAGAAGATTGCTTTTAACTGAATCCGTCTTAAGGCAGATATGAACATACACCTTCATCAAAAAGCTATGTGCTGATTGAGAGCTTTGGTTTCTACATTCTGCAAACATGTATTAAGGACCTGTGTTTATGTTCTGATGGAGCAACACACAGTAACTTCATCAGCACACATATGAATGATCTGGTTCGTCAATAATGAGTGCCAGTGGTTAAGTCTGTGGCTGGCATTTAGTAGATACTCCACATATGTTTGTTTAATGAATGGATCTAATGTGTTCATTGATAAATCAAATGCCAAGCTATGTACATGTGAAATTCATCAATGTTATTTTGTGGTGTGAATAAAAATTTATATTTTGTAAGAATTCACCCTCATTATTAGTAATCTTGGCAACATAAAAAGAAATTAAAAGGGAGAAAATTTTCACATAAAAATTTTTATGTAAATTGGGTCAATTAAACAAAATTTATTATTGAACTTTAGCAAGTTCTTAAGAATCTGAAGACAACATTGCATCTACGGAAGTCAAATTGGACTGTAGCCTTAACATACCATGAGCATTAAAAACAACACATCCTAGTTCCCTAGCTTTTTAAAAAATTTACACACTTAATTAAATATCAAATGGAGTGAAAATGTTTTACATCCAAATAGCATTTATCCTATTTGTTTTTAGGTTAACAAAAAATAAATTTAAAAATATGCAGAAACAAATACATATTACTCTGCCACCAAATGAAAGATTTTGAGATTAATTGTTCCTTTCTTCCTATCTTTGTTAGTCATGATATACATTTTTATTCATGTTAATGAATTCTTTACTGCTAAGAAATATACAATGCATTAAAATATATGATTCAATAACATATGTATTTTTATTTGTATGCAACTTATTGTCCAATTTTAATTGCTTATAAACTTCAAGTAAAGAAAAAATATTCCAAGAAACTCTTTTATTTCAAGCCAGTGATAAAAATGAAACATTAGTCATTCAATGTCAAAAAAAACAGGAATGCTCAACCAGATCACAGTCATCACCTGGTGTCTACACTATCTCTATAAAAGCTTTTAAAATGAATATTTATTCATTTAAGAAGATCTTCAGAGACTGAACATTTAAGGAAGAATATTTGGATATCAGAATACATGAATGACCTTTTATACAATTACTTTTCATGAATTAGCTACCCTTGCTTATTTAGTATTCTGACTTCAGAACGCTAGGTGAGAGCTGTATAGAATTTGAGTATAGAGATGTATGGAGATGAATATTTTTTCAAATTAAAATGATATCATAAAAACTCTCCAAAGATACCAGGATTAGGCTCTACTGAGTTTTATATTCATTTCATAGTTTGATCAAATGATTTCAAGATAAGCAAAATTACTTTTAATTCCCTAAATGATACATTTTCAAAATGCCGATAACCAGGTGTAATTCAAGACTGAAGGTGGTTTCAGTTACAGGCAAGTTCACTCTGGATTTGATGAGGCCAAAAAATGACAACAGAACATCAGGAGTTAAAAGGAGCATAAACCAAGCTTTATTCTCACAGTGGCAGGTCAAGTGCTAGAATCACATCCACCTCCAGCTCTACCTCTGCTCCAGCCTCTGCTCTTGCCTCCAGCCTCTGCTTTCCTTTTCCCTTAGCACTGGGTGGAGCTCCTTTATTATAGCAACACAGGACATAATGGCTTACTGCCAATGGGTATACAAGCATGCACCTGGCACAGTAGGCTAGGTATTACATCATTGCGCACACACAGTGGGCACGTAGATTAGGATCAGGTGAGAATCCTGGCCATGGAATCTCCATTTCACCATGTCAATGCTTTTGCATCAACCATAGATGAGTACAGCAATCATCCACACAAAAAATAAGCTGTAGGAAATCTAAGTACACAATATATTAAAGATCGAGTACAGTATTGGTGACTTCTAAATTCTTAAGAAATGGATTTTTAAATTTGAATAATAAATTATTTGTGGAAAACCTGATAGTAAAAAGTGTAAAGTCTTCAGTTTAGTGAAGAATCCTTTTGTCAAATGAATAAATCTCTTTCACTGCATCTCTTCTGTGAAACTAATATCTTGTAGATGGTGGATATTTAATGATGGAGGTGTATCCCTTAAAAAAGTAGAACTGAGTGACTCTATGATCTGGATTTGGTTCACAGACATTGCAGCAAAACTCTTACTAGTAAACCTCTATTAAGTTGACAGAGATAATTGCAATTTTCCCAAAAATTATGGCCAGGACACTGGTAGGGACACTATTCCCATTGCTGCTGTCAGGGAATAATTAGGCCTCCAATATTTGCATTCTTTTTCTTTCTGATAGTAGACAGAAACACATAGGTAGGAAAGTGGATAAGGCATCCCAGTACTTTCTAAAGGGAAACAAAAATAAAATTTCACATTAGGAAAATGTGGATTTTAAATTAAATGTGGACCCCATTGTATATTTATTTAAATTTGAGCTTTAACTGTGGTCTGCTGATTTTAAGGCAGATCTGAAAGCAGTTTCAAATATCAGTATTTGAGCAAATATTAAAACAATCCAAAATATTTACTGCAGTGGGCTTTGTGTTTGCTCTCTGTAGCTCAATTTACCACTCATCTATATCTCTTTTTGTATCTGTTTGTATTTTTATCTTGAAAGATTTGTTTGAAAACAACAAGATACCATAAACTATTAGAATTATGCTGAAGTCTTAAGGTATTAGCATTATAGAAAGCTGGGGAATCTTATATATGGAAAGTAGAAATTCAATAAATACTGAATTGGAAGTAATGTAAAGTGAACTTTGGTTTAGGATTTTGGAAAACATATTTAAGAATAGCAGAAAGTAACTTAATCAGTTCAAATCTTCCTCAATGTTGATTTTGATAGTGGCAATTCAGACAAGCAAAAGGTTACTACAAGATTCTGAGATATGCACCTTCAATGCCTGTGTAAAATGAAAATATTGGATGAAATTACTTTCATTGTTAGAAGTTTTTCAGACATCTGTTCCTTATTCTTAATGTGAATATTCAACTTGAAAATATTTGAAAATCTTTTAAAGTATGGCATAATTTTTGTGTTCTATTAAAAAAGGATAAAGATTTTGTCACAAGATAAAATTAAGTTAAGGATATTTAAAATAATAAGAAATAATAAATGGAAAAATATCCACTTGAGACAATAACACTTAAAATTTGGTACACATAGAAACTCTGTCCAAATAACAATTGCCTCGCATCTAAATTACTATTTTACCATTACTAAGCATTAGGAATCTGTGGTAGGTTGCATTGAAATAATATAATCCTAAACTGTGTTTTTTTCACTTGTCTTCAAATGAATCGCATTCATTGTAGCCAAAGCGTGTATTTGCTTAAGCTTAATGTGTGGAGAGAAATTAGCTCTTTCCAAATTTTGAGATTTGATTTATCCATAATAGTAACCAAGGGAAGGAAAATCACCACTCTGTATATCTTAATCTCATTAAATTGAAATTCACAATTTTCTATGCTGATGTATCAGTTAAGAACCTACTTTCCATTCTCATCCAAGCTCAGATATATGAGCTAAGCAAACATATCAAAATTGTTAAATCCCATAAATTTGGACTTTACTAATTAGAACCCATAATCCCTACAGCAAGTCTATTATTAGAGCTATTTATATACTATCTAAAAAGGGGCAGTGTAACAATAAATATAAACCATAGATTGAGAGAGTGTATCCCATAAGAGAACACATTATTTTCAAGTACTCAGAGGAATTTGCATTACTACAGTATAAGGAAAAGCTAACATTCTTTAGATTCAAAGTTTGATATTTCAATGCTAATCCAAGCAGACAAATTTTAGATAATCAAGAGATAGTAAGCCTAGGTGAAGATATTTTGTTCACCCCAAAATGTAGATATTATGTAAATAGTTCTATAGATAAATCTATATAGATTATATGTAGATATCATATAATAAAGTCAAGGGAAAGTCCCATTACTTTTCATAAAGTGGGACATGATTAAGAAAGAACCTCAATAATATAAATAACTTTAAAAAGACAAGCTGGAGCCTGCCACTGCTTGCCGTTTGAGTGTTAAATCTAGTGTACTAGATTTTTATTTCTACAGATTCTCATTTGAGCCAAGATCTGTTCCAAGCAACAAAAGAGAATTAGAAAGCAAATGTATTATTGCCTCAAGAATATTAGATAAAATGTAAGCTCAAAGAACAAGAAAAATCAAAGAAAATACACGACACATCTTAGAATAATCAAGCATTAGCTGAGTTAAAGAAATAATGAAAAATTGGGAAAGTATTATTAGAAGTTCTTGAGAGATAATTCAATACTTCCTAAAATAAAAGTTGGTTGCTCTGAGAATACAATCTAAGGTCT